CCCCAAAACCCCAAAACCCCAAAACCCCAAAACCCCAGGAAATAACCTATAGATAGGAAAGATTATAAAATTAATATATTCAATAAGATGAACTTTGAAATATTGGAAGACTACTCTTCAAGAATTGACAGCATGTCTAACTATTCAAAGGGAGGAGAGGACCAGTTTATTTGTGTGGAAAAAGATGGAGGATTTATTACAGATATTCTCAACATTTACTTCTCTATTGATGATATCCCTGATAAGAAGTGGCTTATCAATATTAAAGGGCATATAGGGATGAACGATCTTTGTATTGAGATAACCAAGTATTTGCAAGATAACTTTGAGGAATATTACTGAATCAGTTCTCTTAAAGTGTCTCATATAATCGATGCCTGAAATAATTCTACTCTTCCTCTAGAAGGCACTGTGTCTGAATATCTTTGTGATAATTCAGAGATAATTTGTCATCTAGAGTCGCTCGATATTTGGATAAATCTAATAATGCAGGTAATTTTTAAAATTAACTATAGCTCAAAAATGGTCAAAAAGTAACTCAAATATGTGTTAAAATGAAGGTGGATAATCACATCTCCACTCTGCAGGTCAAGAACATCTGCCAAAAGTTAGGAATAATCTTCTGGAACAAGCTTTGAAATGGTAGTTTAATTCTTTTCCTATAACTTAATAGAATACAATGGGAATCCAATTAATGATAGCAGAGGTATGGCTTTTCTCCTAATCTTGTAGACACAACTCCAGACTTGAAGAATGGATTAAATTATAGGAATTCTTATTCTCGAAATGCTGGAACAAGGCTGAGCATTAGAGAGGCTGATAGGAACAAAAGCACCGTTCATAAGCGAAAAAGCATTAACCATGATGGAACACTGATGAGAAGTCTCCCTGATGCTGGTGAATTTGAACGAAATTGCTCAAAATACTTAAGCCTTGAAGTCATTGAAGAAGAGAACAAAAGTGGATGAATACCCCCAATAGATCAAACACAAGAAGACGATTTCAGAATAGACCCATTCAAGAAGCAGAAGCTATTTGTCCTTGAGCAATTTGAATGCAAATAAAGTAGTTAAAGGCCAAACTAGATACACTACTACTTCACAGAAAGATATGTTTGAAGACAGACTTGAGGAATTAGTAAGATTCACTGGCTGAATAATATTAATTCAAGCTCCATTGCTGACTTCTAAAATTATATTTAGGAAGCATGTTGCTCTGGTGAACTCAGAGAGTTCCAAACTGATGGAAATGGCTCGTTAGCAGAAGAAAGAGTGAGGGTCAAGACTGTACTAAAATAACAATGATACCATAAAGGTAATAAAAACCAAAACTATACTTGACACTCTGCTTGAAAGATGAATATTTAATACATCAAATATAGTGTATTGCAACATTCAAATCTGTCGAAGAAGCAACTAAAGAACAAGGAATAGGTAGAAAAACAAGGGAGAGAATTCATTCCAGAGATCAAGATGAACTATGAAAAAGCCCTGTAGTCTGTAATTCTCCAGGAAAAGTTAACAGGAGGAGAAGAAAATCAGAAGCTTACAGGCTTGAATGCAGTGACATTTGAAGAAGTAAACAGAAATAAAAGCTTTGCTTCAGAAACTTCAATAGAAGAACAAGAACAAACATGAGTATATGCTAACATAATAGTGACTAAAGGGGGAAGAGACTTATCCCAAAGGTAACTCTCCTCAAACCCTAACTATCCAGCACTCCTGACCAATCTCACCAACTTGAGACCAACAAAGGTTTAGAGACTGTTAATTCTGACGATTCATACTCAGAACCATCCCACTTCCCCAAAATTCCAGAGTCTTCAGCAAAGAAAAACTTCTTCTCTAAATTCGCACTCAGACTAGGTCTAAAATAAAACAGAAGTGGTCAAAAAGAAGCCACTGAAGATCAACGAGAATGTGCTGTCAAAATATGAGCTTGAAAGAATACCAATACCATTGTTAAAGAACTTTATTGTCCAGAATATTGATCCTTCGTTTATATCGACAGGAAGGAAGGTCCGTACGAAGTCTAAGTAAGTTGGCTTAGGTTAGACTGGAATTGAGGTTTGGTGGAGTTTGTTATTATGGCAGATTTTGAATGTGAAAATGAATTTGGTGGATTGGATTTGTAATTTTTACTGCGTTTTAGTTTTTGTTTTGAGATATTGCAAAGAAAGTATTTTCTGGCAATAAATGACAGGAATCAGACTTTTGATACCTTGTACCAATATTTTAATCATATATGTTGTGAGAAAATTTGAAAAGTTAAGGAAATTTGTGGACCTCCTATGATTCCGCTCGAATAGTATTTAAAACCCTTTTAAGCTGCTTCCTAGAGTTTAAACTCTATAATATAAAAGATGTACTTACTCAGAAATAGGAGTTATCTCACATATATAGAGCGTATAATATTTTTAATTCTATTTTGATCATTGAGAACGCATTACTATAATTCTCTATTTCACTAGAACTAGAGAGAATATCATCTAACTGTATAGCTTCATGCGAAACACATCTCTGAGTCCAAGAGGAGGTTGATGGGGAAAATGAATAATCTTTTAATCTAATTTATCCAATTTCAGTACTCTTTATCTAGTCTGGGGTTTTGGGGTTTTGGGGTTTTGGGGTTTTGGGG